CCCCCAGCCAGCTCACTCACTCTTCCTCTCTCCTTCATGTGCCCTGCTCTTCCAGAGCCCAAACTCAAGTGCATTCACTGCAAGATTCACCTCACTCTTTAGCCATTGGTTTCCAGTGCTGTCACTTGTTTTTTTCATGCAAGAACATTTTTCTTTTCTGCAAACTATTGCACGTTCCCCATCCATCCTAATTTGTAGCTTACATATTTTCCCCATCCATCTTTATCCCATCCCATGTACCTCTTTGAGCATTTCTTTCATACTCTCTACCCGGGTTTTCATCTCAGGCTGCCTCTCTTCTATTCAAACACAATGTCCAGCACTGAAGAAAGCTGGACTGTGACTGCCTTTTTTCAGCCTCAACCTATAAAAAAAATTGAGTCTAGCTCAACAGCAGGTTTATAGCCTTATTACTTAAAACGTTGTTACTATGAAAAATCTCCTGGCTCTGTGTGCATAATAAATCTCCAGAGGGGCAGGCACAGGCAGGTTTCAGTGCTGCCTGTCTGGCGGAGTGAGAGCCCTCACTCCAGCACCTGGCCTGTGCACAGCCCAGCTCCACAGGACACTGGGACACAGCCCGGGCACAGCTCCACGAGAAGCTGGGACACAGCCAGGGCTGAGCTATATAGGGAGCTGGGATGCAGGGAGCTGGTGGGCAGAAACATGCACAAAGGTAGAAAGAAGCAATCTGGACATTCAAGATCCTGCTGGTCTATGCCTTCCCTGCCCTTCTAGAAAAAAAAAAAAAAAAAAAAAAAAAAAAAAGTTGAAAAAGTTCCCCGGGCAAAGCGCTTCCATGGCAAGTCCTCCATTACTTGCAGAGATTTTCAGGATGGACACTGCAAAAAGATTTGGGAGAAACAGCAGCAACAAAAGATGAGAAAAGAGGCATATGCATGCTCATCAGTTCCTGACAGGAACGGGGTTGAAGTGAAAATCTTCCTGACGACCTTCAGCAAGCAACTGAAGCATGAATACAGCAGCTCATTGAGATCAGAGCTGATTGCCTCTGCTGCACTTAGAGACTCTAGATAGAAAAACACAGAAGAAACCTCAAAGTAATACATGAAATTATACAGGACACAGGCAGAGAGTGTTAAGGTGTTAACCTTCTGTGATTAGCAGCAAAATGATCAAATGTTAATTTAGAGACCAGAGCTGAAGGGCTGGCACCTTTTTGCCTACTAAAGCCTTTGCAGCAAACAGGCATTTTTGCAGCAAACAGAGTTACAAGAGGCTATTCAACACTGGCAATAAACTATCCCCGGACATATGCAGGGGTCTGAAGTGTTGGTTAGCAAACCGTAAAATTTCTTTCATTCTCAGATGGCTGTTTGTTGGTTCCTGCATATTTTCCATGTGGAAGTGATGCCAAATACAAGATTAGTGTTGTATGCAAATTTTTAATTTATCCTTAGAAATTTTAACTGTACCTGCCTCAAAATAAACAGTCCTCTCTTTAGTTTCTTAGAGAGAAGAATGCATTTCACAAAAGATAGCCAGTCTGGCTTTTGTTGTCCTGTTGCATGTGTATTTGTGTGCGTGCATGTGTGCCTACGTGCATGTCTAGGAGTGCTACAGCAGGTGTTACTCAAGGATGTGTTGACACTGAAATTCCTGTTTATTCTCAAAGCAGTCATTGTGCATTAGGTTCATTTATTATCTGACAACAAGGATGGTCTCCTTCTCTGCATCAACCTGCAGGCACATTTATGTGGAGCTCTGAGATGAATTCGGCAATAACCACCAACCACAGCCTGGTCTGGCACAACCCAGTTTCAGCCACAGGCATATGATGTACCTTTCATCCAAAGCAAACAGGTAAAAATTAATGCTGAAGTCATCTCCTAGCACTGCCATGAGACATAGATGATAACACAAATACTTACCATTGTAAAATGAAATGAATCTTATGTCCTTTAATAATGCTGTCATTTTATAATGGAACAATTATTAATGAGCATCATCTTACTTTTATTAATTCTAGAGTTATAACAGCTACACCAGTGACATTAAATCATCTTAAATATGTAACCAAAAAAATCACCACTAAGTACCACAGAAAATTTTAGCTGTACCAAGGTCTCAGCACTTCAGAATCCTGTTTTCCTTTATCTGTCCTTAGTCCCTCTGTCCATGACAGTATTTATAGTGTGTGGTCACATGTTGAGGAAACTTGGACAGTATAAAGGCACAAGAATAACTATAAATGAAGCAAAAATGAGCACCCTGGAGTAGCAACAATAAGAAAAGCAGAAGGCTTTTGGAAAGCAGTGCATTTTATTCCCACATCTCATTCTACCGTCTTCCGCTGATGCTATTAAAATACCTCAGCACGAGGCAGTATTTTTATTTCATTGTGTGACAGTGTCTGTTACTGAAAAACTGGATTGCATTTGCCAAATTCCCATTTTAATTTAGGGAATTTACAGGTAAAAACAGAATACAATATAATCACATTTCGACTATGCATGCAAATGTACAACATTGTAACAGCAGCTTTTTTAATAGTCAAAACTGTTTGAATTTCCACAGATTTCTACAATTTAACAACAGTAAGTGGCAAAACATTTAACTTCCCCCCAGGAAAAAGTCCTGAAACAAGAGTCCAGTGGGAGAGCTTTCTACAGCACGTGTCAAACACGGTGTGTGCACTACGGGATCTAAGACTGGCATCCAGGTGATAAGATCCACATTTTTTGTGGACAGAAAACACTGAGCACAGTGAGGACAGATCAGAATTGTGGGTTTCCCTCCAGCCATCTGTATGATTACAATGCAGTTCAATATCGCAATGAGTTCAGTAATACAGCAACTATAAGTCATAGGCACAAACTTCTTTAGTCTAAGATGCATTTGAAAAACTAACAAAAGCCCTATTACATTAGCCTAGAAACAATAAACAGTACTTTTATTGAAAAGATCCCATATGGAGCTCGAACAGAAGGTAAACGTATTTTGGCATACAGCCAGTACCTCTTAAACACAAGCTATACATAACATGTGATGTACAGAGCTCCGTGCCCCATCCCCCAGCTCAGCAGCTTTTAGCATAAATGTCCTTTTAGCTGTCTTTTTCAAAATTCATGGGTGATGCCAGGTCAGCCAACTTCTGCAATCATTCCAAAAACACATTGCCAAAGGACCTGATGTTTCTGCCTGCATTTATTGACAAGAACCTAAAGCTCCCCCAGAGAGCAGTTTTGCAAATATCCCCTGCTGGGCAAATTGCTCACTACAGACTGAACACGCTGTGAAGCTAATGCTGCCTTTTCAGCTGGAGAGAGCACTGGGCCAGGCACTGCTTAATTAGCGTTGTGGGAATAATTGATTTTCAGTTCAGTGGCTTAATAGATAATAATAAATAATTATTAATAACAACAATAACAATATTAAAACTAACAACAACAAACTTGGTTCATTTTTTTCAGAAAATGGTAACAACTTTTTTTCAGTCGTTGTCCAGGTAGCCTCAACGGCTGCAGCACCCTTCAGGGGTGAGAAGTACTCATAGTCAAATCTTTTCTCTGTCTAGCCTGAGCAAAGGTTCCACCCAAGTACTCCCACCTACCAAATGGATATCTTCAGGCAAAGAAACACTCAAACATTTGTTTCCACAGTCTTTTCAGTTAAACAGATGTGGGACAAAACACTAGCACGTTCAGCAGGACCTCGCTGGAGTGCCTGCTTCTCACTTCGCACAAGAGCGCTTGAGTTCCCAAGGCGAATGGCAGCTCTGCCCCTCACAGCCCATGGGGACAGGGACAGTCTGGGCACTGGGAGCTGCTTCTGCCAAAGCCATGGGTGTCCCCGTGCTGAACACCCTGAGCATCCAGCTTCCCAAGCACTCGGCCATGGGATCTGCCAGAGCACCGGGTAGCTCCTGCTGCCTGCCCGCACTTTGTCCCACTGGACAGCACAGCACAGGGACAGCGAGGGCAGATATGCACAAAGCCACGTACCAGCACACAGCCAGGGTATAGCAAAACTGTGCTGCAAAAGCACCCCTGGCACCTTCAGAGTTGGTGTCCCCAGCTCTGCTCTCAGCCTCTGCTCATGAGAGAATGAATGGAGAGGACACCTGGGTTCCAGTCCAGGCTCTGGTTCATCTGACTTTAGGGTACAAGGAGGGATAACACAAGGCACACACTTACTCCCAAATTTTTATAGCCCTCCCAAATCCAATCAATACATACCAACATTTCCAAACTCTTTTATTTGAGTCAAGCTAATATTCCAAATGCAACGAATAGTTAAAGCTCATAGTTAAACATCCTTCTTTTGCCAGTCAAAGCTTCTCAGAAGCTCAGATCTGGTTCTGCTTTCCTGTACACCACCACAAGACTAAAGGATTTCTACTGAAGACACAAAGTACCCAATGTAAACCAGGTCCAAGGCTTGGCCTGGAGGGCTTCAATTCATCAGATAAGAGAGCGATTTTACACCAATATAACTGAAGTGGCACAACCTCTATAGCTCTGTTGCAATTGTATTGACACAGAGGAACACAAAAATACAGTTAGTACGAGTTTATATTGTAGGAATTAGTTATGCAGAGTACCTATAGATGGATACAGATACAGAAGCACACTGACAGAGCCTCCAAATGTGTTAAAATCACTAGGCTCCAGACACAATCTAAGGTATAGGCCACTGCTGTGTCACTGGTGCAGCCAAGTATCTCAATGGCACAGATATCCCTCATATTCCCAGCTGCTGGGCAAGCACCCTGTGGCTTGCCCTTACCCAGCTGTCTCTGTGTCTGCAGCAGAGCGTCAGCACCTTAGCTGAGGTGGGTCTAAAGTGACATACTGAAAGCAGCTGAAAGCAAGGCCAAAGCATGAGCAAACTATAACCTTTTGCTTTTTGACAATGAGGTAAAGTCATCCTGAATGATTTGAATTTGTAAGCATTGATGTGGAAATGTATGCTCTGCCTTCCCCCTGTACAGAAAACCAGGTGTCTGTCCTCACACAATAGGTTTTCAAATCTGCTTTTTAAGGGTTTGGTAGCTCTTCGTTTTCTATCAAATAATCCTTCTTTATATAATTAGCACCCCTCACCAACCTCCATACTCCAAGATAGGCTTCTTTCAGCGAGCTTCTGTTCACTTCTTGTGTGATGGTGGATTTTTCCTGAACCACAAGTGCCTTGGCTGATTTCTCAGTGACGTCCTTCTCTTCCTCTCCACTCTGTCTCTGACCTGTGGATGATTCTTCCACTGCTGCTTCCTCAGCCCCCTTCCCCTGAGAAATTTTCTCCATGGCAAACAAAGCTTGGTCTCCAGCCTGCCTTTTCCCCTCCTCTTCTCTAGCTTCTTTCTCCAGGTCCTCATAGTTGCTCTGCCGCCTGGTCTCAACGTACTTGGCCACGCAGTAAATGATAGACCCCAAGGTGTTGACCACAACACCAGCTATAAATAACTTTGTGGGCTCCACATCATTGAATGCCACCATGCCTACCGTGATGGTGGCTATGCTCTTCACCACCCCTACAAAGCTGGTGGTCACAGCCGAGTTAATGTAAGTGCAGTGAAGGGTGGTAAAGTTCATGGCACAGCTAATCAGGACACAAGCAATAAAGATGCATACCATGGCAGGGTCCTTCCACCCTGGGAAGGACCAGACGTTGATGGAATCCATGCTGGCAAAGGAGCAGATGATGAGGAAAGGGGTGGCCGAAACAGCGATGGCATACTGAGCTGTCAGGGGTCCATATTCACTGTCTACACTGGTTTTCTGAATGAGCACCAGGTAGGCAGCGTGTATCAGCACGGCCAGCACGCCTGTCACATAGCCCATAGCATCCCCAGTTAGGTCACCAGCTCCTGTCACGAGAGTCACAGAGAGAAATAAGCATAGGTGTTGCACAGGAGACAGAAAGAGAGCGCCATTTTGGACTGGAGGGATATTTAGCAAACAGGCATCATTGCACTTTCCATAACCCCTAGGATTTGTCATGCTTGTCTCAAGTCTTGGCTCCCAACAAATCTCTTACGCATTTTTTAAAGCTGCAAACATATTGAGTCTTTTCCATACCCCTTCTAAATCCCACAGCCAAAATCAGATTGTCTTCTCCCTTTTGTGAAGACACTGTGAAAGATTTGTAGCTGAAACCGTGCACGCACACACACACACGCATGCAGAGCAACCCTGAACATCCTCTTGCTAGCACAGACACATGCCAGCTCTGGCTGACTGGGCTGCCTGCCCTCCAACCCACTGGCCATTCTGCACCCTCTAGCCATGGTGCCCTGTGGGATCCCTGAAGCAACAGCCTCCTTCCCAAGCCCCTGTCAGTCTTTTTGCAGATTAAATTACACACTTTGCATGCGCTCTGTCTGAGGCAGCCCCCAGCCCAGGAGTGCTGTCGGGCCACAAAGTGCCCGCTTTGCCTCCCACCCCACCTACTACACCTCGGCTGGAAAGCAGCACGGGTCCTCCTGGCCACAGAGAGCTGTAGCTGACCCCCAAGCTTGCACCTGCCCTTATAAGATCACACTTGCCCCAGCAAGGCAGCAGTTGTCCCACGGGCTTGCAGCTGCTCTCAGAACATCACATCTACCCCTGTAGATTCACCCACCATCCCTAAGACTACCCTTCCCTCCATAAGGTTGCACCTTCCCTAGCAGGGTTGCAATAAGGTCGCAGCTACTCCTACACGGGCCCGCATAAGGATGCACCTATCTCCAAAAGGTTGTAGCGAGCTCTGCAAGAACGTGCCAACCAGAGCGGGGCTGCATCCACCCCTGCAAGGCTGCACCTGCCCGCCCGTGGTGCTGCATCTGCCTCCGTGGGGCCGCAGCTGTCCCCAAGAACTACACGTCCCCCGCGTGCTCGCGTCTTTCCCCCCGGACTGGCGCTGCCCTCCCGGTCCCCCGCCCGAAGCCTGGAGGGAGCGGCTACTGCTGCTGCCGCCCGTCCCCTCCCGTCCGGTCCCGTCCCGTCCCGTCTTGTCCCGTCCCGCCCCGTCCCCTCGGTGCGGTCGCGGTCGCGCTCACCGGCCAGCGCGGCGCCGCAGGTGGTGATGAGGACGGCGACGAGGACGCCGGGCGAAGGCATGCCGTCGCGGAGCACCAGGGCGCCGGTGACCAGGGTGACGAGGGGCAGGCAGCGCTTGAAGACGACATACATGGGGAGGCTGAGGCCGCGCAGCGACCAGAGGGTGAGGGTGGACTGCAGGGTGGCCAGGGCGGCCACGGCGGCGAAGGGGCGCGCCAGGCGGGGCCCGAAGGGCGGCAGCGCCGCCAGCCCCCGCCGCCGCAGCGCCTCCAGCCCCAGCGCCGCCGCCGCGCTGCTGAGGCACTGCAGCAGCGTCAGGAAGGCGAAGTGGTAGCGGGCCAGCAGGAACTTCAGCAGGATGTTCAGCGAGCCCGAGCACAGCCCGTGCGCCACCGCCACCGCGACGCCCCGCGCCCGGCCCCGCCACCGGAGCATCCTGCCCGCGCCCGGCCCCGCCGCCCGGCCCCCGGCTCTGCCGCCCGCCCGGCCACCCGCCGCGGCG